TACCTGTTAGTAAGGTAGGATTTGAAATATGCAAGTGCATGGCCTCTTATACCATAATGGTCAAGTTTGTGGAGTAGGATGCTGTGGTCTACTGTGTCAAAAGCTTTTGTTAGGTCAGTAAAAATTCCTAGCGGATATTGGTGGATGCTGGCAGTAGAGCCAGAGCCAACACTGACAGCAACAGTATGAAAATAACATAGCATTGAAAGTCAAGTCTGACCCGAAACTGCTGTACAACCACATCAGGAGGAAGACAACAGTCAAAGACCAGCTGATCAGGCTGAGGAAAGAAGGTGGGGAACTCACAAGTAATGATCATGAGGTATGTGAGGAGCTCAACATGAGATTTAAGGAAGTGTTTACAGTAGAGACAGGAATGGCTCCGAGAAGACAGCACAGAGGGGAACACCAACAGGGAACATACCAACAGGTACTGGATGACATACAAAAACAACGGAGAAGGAGGTGCAGAAGCTGCTAAGTGACCTAGATATCTCAAAGGTGAGGGGTCTGGACAACATCTTCCCGTGGGTCCTTAGAGAAGGAGCAGAGATGCTGTGCGTGCCACAAACCACAATCTTCAATACATCCCTTGAAACTGGGCAACTACCTGAGGTATGGAAGACGGTAAATGTAGTCCCCATTTTTAAGAAAGGACACAGAAACGAGGCACTAAACTACAGACCAGTGCGTTTGACGTGTATAGTTTGCAAAGTCATGGAGAAGATTATCAGGAGGAGAGTGGTGGAGCACCTGGAACGAAACACGGTTATAAACAACAACCAGCATGGATTCATGGAAGGCAAATCCTGTGCCACAAACCTTCTGGAGTTTTATGACAAGGTAACTGAAGTAAGAAACGAGAGAGAGGGGTGGGTTGATTGCATTTTCCTGAACTGCAGGAAGGCCTTTGACACAGTTCCTCACAGGAGATTAGTGCAGAAGCTGGAGGATCAGGCATGTATAACAGGAAGGGCACTGCAATGGATCAGAGAATACCTGACAGGGAGGCAACAACGGGTCATGGTACGTGATGGATATCACAGTGGGCACCTGTGACGAGTGGGGTTCCATAGGGGTAGGTCCTATTTTTGATATATGTGAATGACATGGTGGAAGGAATAGACTCTGAAGTGTCCCTGTTTGCAGATGATGTGAAGCTAATGAGAAGGATTAAATCGGTTGAGGATCAGGCAGGATTACAAAGAGACCTGTATAGGCTGGACATGTGGTCCAGCAACTGGTTTCTTGATTTCAACCCTGCCAAATACAAAATCTTGAAGATTGGGGAAGGGCAAAGAAGACCAAGACAGAGTATAGGCTGGGTGGACAAAGGCTGCAAACCTCACTCAAGGAGAAAGATCTTGGGGTGACCATAACACTGAGCATGTCTCCGGAGGCACACGTGAACCAGATAATGGCTGCAGCATATGGGCGCCTGTCAAACCTGAGAATAGTGTTCCGATATCTCGGTAAGAATTCGTTCAAGACACTGTACACTGTATACGTCAGGCCCATACTGGAGTATGCAGCACCAGTTTGGAACCCACACCTGGTCAAGCACGTCAAGAAATTAAAGAATGTGCAAAGGTTTGCAACAAAGCTAGTTCCGGAGCTCAGGGGAATGTTCTACGAAGATAGGTTGAGGGAAATCGGACTGACGACACTGGAGGACAGGAGGGTCAGGGGAGACATGATAACAATGTGCAAAATAATGCGTGGAATAAACAAGGTGGACAGAGACAGGATGTTCCAGAGAGAGGACACAGAAACAAGGGGTCACAATTGGAAGCTGAAGACTGACGAGTTACAGGGATGTTAGGAAGTACTTCTTCAGTCAGAGTCGTCAGGAAGTGGAATAGTCTAGCAAGTGATGTAGTGGAGGCAGGAACCATACATAGCTTTAAGACGAGGTATGACAAAGCTCAAGAAGCAGAGGGAGAGGGAGGACCTAGTAGCGATCAGTGAAGGGGCGGGGTCAGGAGCTGAGGCTTGACCCGTGCAACCACAATTAGGTGAGTACCAGAGCCAGAGCCAACACTGACAGCAACACTGGCACTAGAGCCAGAGCCAACACTGACAGCAACACTGGTACTAGAGCCAGAGTCAACACTAACAACAATGGTGCTAGAACCGGAGCCTACACTAGCAACAACACTGGTATCACTGGTTGTAGGCCTAAGTGTTCTTAAAGTGACTTCTCTACTGGTCCTTGGAAGTCTGTACTTCAGCTAGTTCAAATAATTTTTGAAGTGAATAAAACCACTCAGCCAGTATCTTATGCATTGGCCTGGAGTTTAAAGACTTACTTGTCCTGGGGTTCTAACCCCACCTGTTCTGTGGTTTGTTTGTTGTCGTGTTATTATGATTTCGTGAGTCCGAGATCTTGCTGCTTCCCCAACATATATCTTGTCACACCCCCTACATAGTGTTATGTACATTCCTGCATTAGTGGCAGATTCACTCTTATGGTTTTACACAAGTTTATAATTATAGTTGAAGATCTGGTGGCTATTTTAACAAGTTTTTTGTCATGTGTGTGGAAAATGTTAGTTGCAACGTTGCTGGCCTGCAGAACAAGGTAACTGAGAAGCTCTTCTTTAATTGGATAGGTATTAATGTTATTAAGGATGTGCTACATGTTCCCAGCAATCACGTAGGAAGTGCAAGGGAAATTGTAGCTAACTGAAGGAATGTGTGATGTATGTGCACTCTTCTATGAGGAACTGTGGACTGGAAATTCTGTAAGCTTTTAAGAAAGAAGCCACCTATAACAACTATTTTAGTCCTGGTGGCATTGTTTAAGAAGAAATGCATCAGATTGGTCTTGTAAGCTCACCTGCATCAAACTTTAAAACAGCATCTGTTTTTACCTGCAAGTAGAGAAGCACATTAAGAAAATTTTGTAATTGGTTGGATGCAGTGGTGGCTCATAGCAAAAATTAGTGGAGGTGCTGCTTCAGAAAATTTTTAGCCATTGTTTTAATATTGTGTAAAACGAAACAAGCATATATAAAGAAAATTTATACATAAGCTTGATACAATCATAAACAAAAAAATATTTTTACTTGCCTAAATTGTTATAGTTCAAGCTTGATCCATTCATTTAAAAACAAACTCCATTCTTGTTCTACTTTGCACAAAAAGATTAATAATTAAATAAAATAGTTGGAAGCATGATGATCATCTAATTCTACACTTTATCACATTCAAGAATATGGTACATTTTTTTAAGTGCAACACATGTTGCTGAGTCAAAAAGAAACACTGCCTTACACTTGCACAACAGGGTCGGCACTGTGTCAGCAACAGTGCTCTCTACCTAGCCTGCAGCATCTTATCTCAGACACAACTCACAAAATTGTAACGATACAATTGCAAACAAACCATACCACGGGCGGGGATAGAACCCGCGATCAGAATCTCAAAACTCCAGACCGTCGCGTTAGCCAGTGGCTAACACTATGGTGTGGAGTTTTGAGACTTTCTGATCGTGGGTTCTATCCCCACCCATGGTATGGTTTATCTCAGACATGTACGCATGCGCACTACAGCCAAACACCAATTCGCTGGAACTGTGAAGCACACGGTTCCATACAAGGATTTTTGTAATTTTTTCATGTACTAGGGGATAGCTACTGACATTAAGCTTAAGGATTATATAATATACAAGTACAGTGGACCCCCGCTTAACGATCACCTCCAAATGCGACCAATTATGTAAGTGTATTTATGTAAGTGCGTTTGTACGTGTATGTTTGGGGGTCTGAAATGGACTAATCTACTTCACAATATTCCTTATGGGAAAAAATTCGGTCAGTACTGGCACCTGAACATACTACTGGAATGAAAAAAGTTCGTTAACCGGGGGTCCACTGTATAATGAAAGAATTAAAAAAAAAAACAATAAAGACATTATATTGAATGTTATCTATAATATTGAGTGAAAGTAGGGGGTGCTGCAGTTCAGCAGTGCCTACACATGAGCCACCACTGGCTGGATGAATACACCAAGTTAGACCTATGAAGGATGCAACAGAAAACATGCCACATTCTTCATAATAATACATACATGTAATAACATTTTATTTTGACATGATACGTGTTTGTACAAAGAAATATAATAGTTGGGTGCACATGCCAAAAGCCCCTTTATATGCAGAGCATTTTGGGCAAACTTAAATTTAACTTAAGATTAATAAGGCAATAACAGTACAGTACCTCTCTCCAGGTAAACTCCAGGTAATGGTCATTTGATGAGCTACAATGAATACAAGAGAATTGAGTATTCTATTATGTCATGCTCTATGGCTTTATTAAGTTCTGAACAGGGTAAGAAACTGCTATACGTACCTGCTGCCCGGACAACATAGACCAAGTTATAAATATACGTACTACCATTGACAACCTGGAATTCTTGTCCACTCTGTCACATTCAGCTGTACTCCAGCACAGTATATAAGAGCTCTGTTAAATGGTTATAAATTATCTTATATTTGTATCTCTATATTAAACTTTTTTATTATATTTCATAAAATGTGATTTTTTCATAAAATGGAGCATACATATACTGTACAGAATATTCCAGAAGTCTGCTGCACACACAGGATAAATATACACTCCACACAATTCATTTATTATTAAATTTAAATGTCATTAACAGCCACAGACATTAATTTTCATATGAATATTTTTCCGTTCAAATACTTTTTTGAATGTTTGATTTGAAAGTATCATGCCCATTTCTGGTTTATATTTTTTCTGTATTAAATTTTAGCGATTTTTTTTTTTTCACCCACTGATGCAGTTGCATAGTGTTTTATTTGTAGAGGGTAAAATATAACCAGTATAGGATCTGTTTACAAAACTGGTATTAGAAATAATTTTGTTTAACTTTAAGAATATAATTCATATATTTCCTATGGCTTCATATTTTTGAGATGACATGTACACTTGATTTTATTGTAATGTGTCTCTAATATTGATATTTTTCTTATTAGACAGCTAGACCCTGCATTAATACCGTTGTTTGAAGAACTGTGTCGGGAGCAAGTGGAGGCCTTAATACAACCAGAGGAAGTTAAACAAAAGAAAAAACAGCGGAAAATTGAAACTGAAGTTGCGGAATTAAAAAATAAGTTAGCGACTAAAGCTAGAGCAATTGTTTTATCAAACAGAGAAATTAGACTACTTAGGTGAGTAAAATAAAACATTATTGTATCATGATTTATGGAGAGAAAGTTGAATGGTAAGTCTTAAAATTATTTCAGTCTTTATGAGTTTTATCAAGTCTGAATGTGATGAAACTTGTACCATATAAATAGTGTTTGTACAGTAATTATAAGTTTTTCCTTGAATGACATTTTTCATTGCAGATTCTGCTATTCAATCATTTAATGTTGTCATATATACAGGAAGGCCCCGCTTTACGGCGTTTCACTTTACGGCGTTCCGCTAATACGGACATTTCAAA